TTCTTGATGTATAAACGGAACTTTTAGCCATAAATAACTGTTGTGTCCTCATTGAGTATGAATTCCGTCCACTTCCGGTAGTGCTGGTTAAAAGTCAAGGGAACACTTACTTCGTATGAATGATCCAAAAATACGTTTTCGTGAATTTTCGTGTAAAAGTAAAGAAGACGCAGATTGATCGCTCACCGGAATTAAAGCATTAGCCTTCTTACGGGAGTCCACTGTCAGAGATAAGTGGCCGTACGTAAAGGCAAGTGGCAACCAGGGCTGCTGAACATTTGCCTACTTGGCTTTTAAAACAGGAGAACAAAGTACCACGTTCATCTATAACAAAACACTTACTAGACAGTGGTCATTCGGTTGACGCTAACACATCTTTCCGCGTTCTTGTTCGAGCACGAACAAACCGGACCTTACGTTACATGAAAGCAAAATAGGCAATGGTTGTAGCGGGTAGGGGCCAATAAAACATTAGTAACGTCAGTCTGGACGTGGCTGTGTAGGCCTCCATATAGCGGCGCTAGATCGATTAGTCGATCGACTGAGTTCTCATCGAATGCCCAGGCTTCAATCAATTCATCTTCCTTAATAATCCACGCAAGTGGAATGCGAAAATTTTCCTAAATTCGTGAATATTCGTTTTTTTGAGTTACCAAAGACCCTTGTTGTTTCTTTTAGCAAACCGCGCTAATGATGGCGATTAGATGAAAAGCCATTCAGGCTCTCGTGACCGCTCATTAAAAGCTGATGTAGTACAGGAGGAGATCCGATACAGAAGTCAGAATCGGTCGGAATCATGAGGCAACTGCAACCGCGCTGGAGCGGCCGCCTTGGGAGGATGAGAGAGAGATGCTTTATTTTGAAAATATCATTGCACAAATTTCAGCCAAACGTCCTCCATTCGCCGGACACACAAACAACGTAACACCAGGAGATCATAACCAATGCATAATGGTTGAACACTGCAATCGCTAACATCATGACGAATCGCGCTTGAATGAATCACAAAATGTGGGCGAAATTGATCTTCCTTAAAAACGGTGCTGGCTTCCTGTATCGATGAATTCATTGCTATACTTCGGATAAACAAAGAGGGGTAAAAATCGGTTTTGTAACAGGCGCAATAGCTCAAGCGATGTATGTTTGAGGAATTTCTATGCAAATGGAAGACAGAAAAAGTCGTTGCTCAGTTTCAAAAGCCCGCAAGCCTTCCCAACCGACTCTGCTACAGCGCCGTAGCCACGGAACGCAAACAAAGATGGAAAAGTAGACGTTACTATGACGCCCAACATTCCGGAGTTCTGGAATGACCTTAACCACAGCTGACCAGCCTGGAGCGACAATAAATGAAACCAGACGCATCATCGCTAAAAGGGAGGCTCACAAACCTCAAGCTCCGTGAATCTACGACCATAACACTCAACGCTTTTGTTCATCTCCACGATAATAACAAAACATTTTGCGCATATATCCGCCCAGTGCAACAAAAAAAAGGAACACAACAATTCAACCTACTACTTCTGCAAGTACCTCCTTCGATATCCAAACCGCAACCCCTACTAAAACGATGACGACCGACAGTTTGACCATCGAGTTCGACGACGTCCACCCTATGCTCCAAAGCAAGCTGGTGCAAGGACAGTAACTTGCGCGTTAATTAGCCTTAAGTGATAGAAGACTTGCGCAGCATCTACCGTACTCTCTCTCTCTTCCCTCATCCGCCAGTGTCCGGTGTCAAA